AAACACAATGCGAAGAATAAGTATGTAGAATGTGAGCACTTCATTTTGTGCTTCTGCCTGAGCACTACAGTTGCTAACTACAGCGTAGAACTAGCCTGTACATACTTAAGGCTGGTAGTTGCCATGGAAATATCTAGCATCCCTGAATTTGCCAAACGAGAAGATATATTGACAACAAGTGATAGATAGTTTAACAGAATAAGTATTCCTGAAGTAAGTTGTTTGCTGTGCCAAACCGTTGCAACTTCTAGTAACGGCAAAGGCTATTTCAGCAAGATTTTGAAATTATACATATATATATCTATATGATTGAACAAATACATGATACACCGTGTTCCCAATGAAAAGCTATCAATGAATTATTAATCAACAAGTTTAGCTGAAGGAAAAGAAAGTTTGTTGTTGTTTGCTTCTTGTTAAGGACAAAGCTACATAATTGACCTTCTGTGCTGTGCACATCACGGATATAGAAGCTCGGTTTTTAACGTTATAAGCCTTCAGACTAGGAGAGTAAGGACTCTGTTTCTGAGTAGAACTGTTTTTTATTGACTTAAATAGATGTATATTGTAATCAGCCTCTTCACTAATTCCTATCTATTTATATCTAAAATAATAATAATAATAATTGTTTATAAGGACTGATTTGTTGACTTTATAAAGCTCTCAAATAATTATAACTTTCCAACAAAGAAATAAAATTATAATATTCATATTGCTTGTTTAAAATTTTTATCAGCGATGAGATTAATGAGAAAAGAGATACAAACTAGAAAATAAATTATTCTCAAAGGAAATAAGAAATAAGTTGTTTAAAATCAACTCTTTAAAAGTTCAAATAAGTACCAATACCGTAGATAGCAGTAGATGAACGTTATCTCTAGAATAATTAATAAAGGTTGTATTATTGGTTAATAAGAGGTTTACTTTTGAAGTTAATTTTCAAATGTTATAAATTAACAGATATAAAGGTTTTGTTTCAATGAAAAATCACGATATTCCTATTAATGAAATTCATTATAAATAAATTAAATATTTTCTTTATTCAGATTTATATTATTAGCAGTTACTAAATATTCAGAATAATTACATTGTAAATTATGATAATAGCTTACTTTTAAATTTCTACCTCATTTTCGCGTATGTGTTTTTTCGTAATACATGTTACTAAAAGGAATGTAAGAATATGATTTTAGTAGTTACTAAGTTTGAGAATAATTTTCATATTTGTTTAAATTTTCAACACAACGCGACGTCGACATTAAAGCTTGGAGATTCGCCGCATGCGCAATAGCAGCTACTCTTTCCGAAGGTATAGAGGTTTAGTACTTGTATGGTTATATAAATTTCACACTATTACTACGCATCACTATATTTTCCTAAATAATTTAAACAAAGATTTATAATAGTCTAGTAAGTAAAAATATTTTTTTAGAAATGGTTAATATGGTTTTATATTTTCTCAATATTATTTTTAAATTTTAACAAATATATTCTATTCACACCGAAATATTAGTTTAGGCATAACTGTATTTATAGTCTTATGGAGCGTTATTTATTCGTGCCTTAAACTAATGAGTAAGGAAAATAACAAACCGAGGTGACGCTCGGTTTATCCACCAGATTGTGGAAAGAATTTTTTAAAGGGTTCAGGTTGTCCCTAGGTGACCTGTCTACTTTCACAGGATGCCTGGGTTGGTGTGATCTACCCTGATTACCCTAAATATAATACAAAATTAGAATCAAATGGTAGGAAAGCACTAGAAATTATTTCAGTGAATATGATTTGTTCTACTACGGCTAAAATCACAACTTTTCCCTATTTATGGAAGTATGAACTATACATAATTTTATAGCAACGCTAAATGACTGAATCTACTTCCATAACACTATAATTCCATGTACCGATGGTATAAAGCTTCTTGTTTCACAAAATGCGAAGTTGGATTTTATATGTCTCATAATGTTGTAGCTTAATTATATAAATGTATCTAATTTGCATACAAACTGTCAGCTGCTGGGTAGATCTAAAATAAACATAATTGACGATAATAGTTTTCTTCTAAAATATAAATAAGTTGTCATTATATGCTTTTAAAACTTAAATATATATACATACTATTTTTCAATCATCAGTGGCGAATTTAACGGGAGGTCAGTCAGGGTTCCGAGCTAAATAGGGACCCTAAAATTACTATATAAATAGTGTTGTTGAAAGTGGAAGAATTAGTAGAAAGGTAATGAGTTTTAAAAAAAAAATGTTTCTTCGAAATTTTATTATAGTTGTCAATAATATATTTTTGATCAAGATTTACGTTGTTAAAATAGCGTTAATGATTAAAAATGTGCATATAAAAAATGGAATCTAGTTATAAACATACACACATTTCTAGACCAAGGTATATATTTAACCGAGAAGTAACGCTTGTCTTGTCTATGAAGGGGCCCCATATTATTCACTGTCCCGTAACCCTAAGGTGTCTAAATAAGCCACTGTCATTCATACAGGGGCGCCCCCCAGTGGCACAGAGGCATGTATGCGGATTTACAACAGACCCCGGGGCAGCTGCCCCTTCCTCTCGTTAGCCCCGCATACCTAAGGCCAATATAGGGGTTGGGGGGATTTCGCCCGGGCCTCAAATTTAGACACTTGTTTTTTGCATTTGTTAAGTTTCACGACTAGTTTTTATGTGTTTCCCAATCAAACCAAAATGTGACACACGCTCTCAACTTAGAACTGCAAATTAAATATTCAAATTATGTTTCACTTTTCTTTTGGGCTTATGATTGCCATATTTTGTTTCATGTATAATAATTTTTGTGTTTATTATAGCCAGGTGATTCAAAAGATAGAAGTGGCCCGGGCCTTTCTGACCCTCCGAGAGGGCCTGATCACATCACTATAAAATCTGTTTAGATATATATATACATAAAGGAACAAAATATATGATGTGTTCATGGTTGCTAATTGTGTTATAGACTTTATACATTAAAAAAAAAGAAAACAATCACGCGAACTTGGAGAAACATTCAAACAGAATAGCGTCAAAGATCATGTACGCTATAAACGAATCACACCAAATATCATTTCTTAAAAAGAATATAAGGGTGATATTACTGACCTTATGAGGCAACTTAACTCGGCACTAGGATGTTCAGGGCAAAACTGCTAAACTAAAAAATCGTATACTTTTTTACTTAGGGAATTTCAATGACTTCATAAATGTATAACTACCAATAAAAGTATTTATTATGCGTTTTCATCTATTCCGTATTTTTATAACACAGCATGGTATACATTGCAAGTGTAACACTCTTTTATTTTATTGACCTTCACACAAATGAGAAGCGATTAGGGTAAGGTACCCAGCCAGTCAACACTACCTGCCATCAACTCTTGAGTTTCTCTTTTTAACAATAAAAAGTAGGACTAGCCCTCACGACTGAAAGGGCGTGCTCGGCAAGAGCATTTGATCCCGCGATCTGTACACTATGAATTCAGCTCCCTAACCTCCAGCCGAGGCGTAATACAACTTTGATTCAATATTATTATTCATTTTCCTTCTATGCTAACATAACTCCTTACGTTATCTCAAGAGTTCTGATTCTTGAGACATCTATAACTTAAAAAGACGTAAGTGGTAAGTCCCAGTGTTTCAGATATTTCTGTAATAAAGACGTTGGTTAATCGAGAATACGAAAAAAAATTATATATATATATATATACACACACACAACCAACGTTAATTCATCTTCTTAATTGCAATCAAATTCGCATTCAATAACTGTTGAGTCATATTATGGCTCATTACCTTTAATTAGTAAAAGTCATGCTGATACATAAGAGTCCGCAGGGGAGGGCATTTGCCCTCCCTATATTTCACAAAATAATGCACATATTAGTTAAACTATTTTTAGTAATTTTTATTAAAACTATAAATTTGTGTTTAAGCACACACTCTTTTAGTCTGTTGACTTACACTGTAAAAGCTTATCCCCTATATACATGTTTTGCCACCCTCCCATGTGAAAATATTTCTGTGGGTGCCTATGTACTTGTACATTTGTTAAACTGGCTCTTACAAACAAAAGAGGGGTCAGTAATAGGCTTAATTATCTACATTCATATTTTTGTATCCAAAACTGTAAATTCCAGTCAATATTAATAATTTAAAAATTCAGGTCTCAAATTCAAAGGTCTTCGACGGCTCTTAAACTTTGTACATATCAATAACTTAGAATACACAATACTTTTGTGTAGCTTTGAGTTATCTGGAACAAAGTGATGTAAAAATTAAAAAGTGATGTAAATTAGAATCGTATTATTACAATTATAAACAAATTACAGCTCATATGAGAATAAAAGCTATTGCCATCTATTGACAACTATTAGAATCTTAAATTATTACATGCGTGTCCGAAATTTTTTTAAATATAGTTGTTCTAAAATACATTCATATTTGTATCTTATTCATAAAATACTGTGTGTGCTATTAAAGTAATAACACCTGATACACTTTGAAAGTTTTCTTTAAATTCTGGTACAGTTGTAACGTGGCTTCATCTATATAAAAGTCACAAAAGCTCTGTAGTCTTTCATAATTATTAGAAGCGTTATAGTCACTCCATGTTTTTAATACAAAAACAAGTTGTTGTTCCCCCACCCCCAAATGTACAAAAAATGGAACTGCATAAAATCCTCATCTTTAATTTGTTTCCACAATAATCATCTGGCATAACTATGAATTCAGAAGAATATTTATGAAGTGTACATTACTTTCTGTAACATTTAGTACCTTTTATTGTTATTCACAGGAATTTTCTATTCTTGTTAGCTTTCTACAATGTTTGTGGTGTTTGTATTTTGCTGATCACATAACATTTACAAGCTAGTGTGTTGCCATTTTTGTTTAGTGATCAAGTATGTCTTTTTCAAAATAAAAAAAAGCTTAAATTAGTTTTAGTTTCATAATAAAACAAGCAAAAATATATTATCCCTAAAATAAATCTCAATCAAGAATTTATTAACCCCACAATAAAGCAATTGTCTGTATTCATCTCATAAAATCAAATACTCTAATTTCATCTTACAATAAATCCATTCAACCATTTCATTCCAACCAACAATAAAACCCTTCAAATATTTAATTTTGACCTCAGGACAAAACCCTTCAAACTCTTCTTCTATCCTTAAAAAAATCCTTTCAAAATTCTTCTTCTGGTTTTACAATAAAATTCTCAAGTTATCTTACAGCAATCCTTTAAAAGAAAGGAATTTTCATAAAACAGCATATTTTTTTTATAAGATGTGAATTATATTTGTAATTAATTAAGTAAATAGATGTTTGGTCAAATAATGATTACTGACATTGAAGGTATGGTCTAGCAAGTGATTACTGACACTGAATGTATGGTCTAGCAAGTGATTACTGACACTGAATGTATGGTCTGGCAAGTGATTACTGACATTGAATGTATGGTCTGGCAATTGATTACTGACACTGAATGTATGGTCTGGCAAGTGATTACTGACACTGAATGTATGGTCTAGCAAGTGATTACTGACATTGAATGTATGGTCTAGCAAGTGATTACTGACATTGAATGTATGGTCTAGCAAGTGATTACTGACATTGAATGTATGGTCTAGCAAGTGATTACTGATATTGAATGCAAGGTTGCAAAGTCTAGGAAGTGATCACTGACACTAAATATAAGGTCTAAGAAGTGATTACTGACATTGAATGCAAGGTTGCAAAGTCTAGAAAGTGATCACTGACCCTAAATATAAGGTCTAAGAAGTGATTACTGACACTGAATGTATGGTCTAGCAAGTGATTACTGACACTGAATGCATGGTCTAGCAAGTGATTACTGACACTGAATGCATGGTCTAGCAAGTGATTACTGACATTGAATGCAAGGTTGCAAAGTCTAGAAAGTGATCACTGACACTAAATATAAGGTTTAAGAAGTGATTACTGACACTGAATGTATGGTCTAGCAAGTGATTACTGACACTGAATGTATGGTCTAGCAAATGATTACTGACACTGATTGTATGGTCTAGCAAGTGATTACTGACACTGACTGTATGGTCTAGCAAGTGATTACTGACACTGAATGTATGGTCTAGCAAGTGATTACTGACACTGAATGTATGGTCTAGCAAGTGATTACTGACATTGAATGCAAGGTTGCAAAGTCTAGGAAGTGATCACTGGCACTAAATATAAGGTCTAAGAAGTAATTACTGACATTAAATATACAGCTTAGAAATAGATCACTAACATTAGATGTAAAGTCTAGGACACAAATACTGACATTGAGTGTAAAGTCTATAAAGTGATTACTAACACCAACTGTAAAGTCTATGAGGTGATTACTAACATTGGATGCAAAGTCTAGAAAGTAATCACTGAAATTGAAGGTATGGTCCAGAAACTAATTATCACAAACCTCTTATTAGTAAGTTAAAAACATCAGCAAACACTCAGATTCTACAGCCAAAATAAACACTGTTTCTTAAGGCATTTCCTTATATAAACAGAAGTGTGATCTAGACCTTGTATTAAGAAGAATTATAACTAAAACATTTCTGCACTGACAGTTATAAATCATCACTTCCATACTACTAAACCACTCTATTAGGGAAGTTTATAAAGCAGTTGTCTATTACATATAATCTACAAGTATTGTTGCAGCAAAGAATACATGACAAGTAGTACCAGACAACAATAAAATGCAGTCTTGAAAATGAATTTCAACTATAGAGCAAAGCAACTTAAAGGAGGAATAAAGAGTATATTTTTCTTTCAAAAAAAGATAATAGCAATCAGACATATTTTAAAATATCATGCAAAATTTAATGAGATTTTGCTTGGATATGATTGCTTACATGGAACTAAGAATACAAAAGAATTCTTGATTTAGTTCATCCAAACACTTTTAGAAAAAAAATGTTCCTGAAAAGCAATTAATATGCATTATAGTTTTCAATTACAAAATTCATTAGCAAATGCATACTGTATTTATTTCTCAATGCAAATAATCTTCTACAAGACTCAGTCATGTAGATCAAACATGTTTCACACCAATTATCAAGAGGTGCAACTCTCTAATGATGTTTTAAAATTTTCTGATACAAAAACCTAGAAAATTCTTTTCTTTTACCAGTAACAACACAATCCTTATATGATTAATAAGCATTAGTACTTCCTAAATGTTGTTCAATTTTCATAATGTAAATATTTACAAACATTATAGTTTTCTATATGTTACTGTTGAACTTTTCCATTCCAATAAAAATGTTTGCCCTTTCTTCCAAGAAGATTCAACTAAATTTAAATAGAAAATAAGACCAGCATTTTTGTTACCATATTATTGCTGTTTTAGATCAAGATATTTTCTAAGCTGCAGCAAAAGAAATTTCCACTAACATTCGGTATCATGCAAAAAAAAATCTAACTTTCTGCTATCTATCAACACATTCAGCAAAACCTATTCAATGGATATCAGACCAATTTCTTTTCATTCAACTAAGCACTCTTCAGATTATACAATCTCCATAACTTCAGTTTTCTAATTAATTAAAGCTCAAGTCATGTTTTTCCATCACTTCTTTTCTTTGGATTTGGTTTCTGTTCTTGTTCTGTCCCTAACACATCCTTTTCAAGTTCCCACAGGTCTATCTTTTGTGCTTCAATAGCTTTCTGAAATGTAATAAATATGAACTTCTGATCAAAGCAAGCTATCAACATAGATCAGAGCTAAAAAAAAAACAGTCAAGCAATAAACATAGCTGATTAAATATACTGTTACCTTCCTACTTATAATGAGTGAAATGCATTGTATCATCATTTTGTACCCTCCAATATTTTTATTCATAATTCCAATAATATCTTACAAGGTTGGGCCAGCTTAAAAGAATGAGATTAATCTTAAATCCATGTACTAAGCTAACAATGCAAAATAATCTTTATAATAAATATATTATAACAAGTTTAAAATAATCAAAATTTATATATCAAAAGTTATAATGAATAAAGAAATAATATATCTTACTTACAGAAAATATAAATATTAGTGGTTTGATTCTTGCACTATCATAGATTTAATGTTCCTCACAGAACTTGATATCAGTATGCATAAACTTAATATAATTTTCCCTAACATCTTTTAACTAATATAAGCCCATTACATTGCTCTAACAATATAACTTCAGAGATGGAACAATATTAATAATAAACTAGATAAGACTTTGGTAAAAGTAACAGTTTGTATTTTTAACACGGAACCAGATCATCATCAAATATCAACAGTGTATACACAACCTAGTGTCCAGGCTACTAGGTTTAATCACACACCTTTGTAAACATCCAAATGTCCATGTTACACAAGAAGTTTCACACACTTGTGTAAATATTTTAATGTCCATGTTACTAGGTTGCACTAGCTAGTTTAACACACATATAAATCATTCTAATTTTCAAATTAGTAATGATATAAGTAAATAGTTTGGTACAAGTATAATGTTCAAGTTAGTATGATATATGTAAATAGTTTGACACAAGCATAGTGTTCAAGTTAGTATGATGCATGTAAAGTTTGATATAGGTATTTAAACATTCTAATGTTCAAGTTAGTATGATATATGTAAACAATCTCACAGTAATGTTCAAACTTGTATATGTAAATAGTTTGATGCAGGTGTTTAAACATTCCAGTTATTTTCATGTGATACAATAATGTGATTATGGATGAATCTACTGCATAAGTTGACATACAGGATGGCCTGTGGTGCAGGTTAATTGCAGCTTTGTGGTAAACTATCCAATGCTGAGCTGTTAGAGTTCAGAAATAATGGACTAGATGAGTACTTGTTGAGGGCAAAAGTCACAATACCTTTGGAATTACAAATGATGATGTTTTGTTGAACCCGAAAAATACAGCCTAGTGTGTAGCAACTGTCTGCAGTAAAGATGGAACTAACATATGATACACAGTTTTCTATCCAAAAACAAAGTAATTACTGTTTTCACTTCAGGTGTCAACTTGTGCCAATGGTTGTTGGCAAAAGATTCCAGCTGAAATGGCTGATGGGAGAGTAAGTCAGGCACAAGTGACCGAGGCTCACTACGCAGCTTGAGTTACTAAAACTGCACCACTCTAACAGCAATAACACAGTTTTCAGAGCATCTGAGGCCAGTGTTAAAATGCTGTGCAGACAATCAGATTATAGAATAGTGACTGGACCACAAGTATATTATTACTTGAATATGCTATTGTGTTTGTCAGACCAGATGGCTATCTAGGTAGAATAGTTATATGTAATCACAGACACACAAGTAACACTTATCCAACAACAGAACTGCTGTATGGATTCCTTGGAGCACTATGGATGTCGAAAGATGGATTAATACAATCACTAGTGTGTGCTTGGTGATGTCTAGTAGTGATTGTGAATTGAAAGGAAATGCATGGATTCTGTGTCACTTTTAAATGGATCAATGTGCTGGAAGGTATCCATTGATCCAACATGGTAGAACAGACATCAGGCTACTAGCAAGAAGAACTGGATGAGGAAATAAGATATTTTACAGTTGAAACAGCTTGTATAAGTTTATCATTCCATTCAGTCTGTGTAATAAACCTGCACTCTGGAGTGGCTAATGGAGCCTACATGATTGCAAATGGAGATATGTCTCACCTATGGGAATTACATACTAGTGTTTGGACACACATTTCAGCCCACTGCAAACAACTTGAGTGGTTTTTCAAGAAAAAAAGAAAGAAGGTTTAAAGTCAAACCTGGGAAGTGTGTGCTCATAAGTGTAAATACAGCAGACATAGTTGGATTGTCAATTGATCCTGTAAAAATTGCAGCAGTTACTGACTAACCCCTACAAGTGACAAAAATAAAATAATAATACTGTGAACATACTGTGGCCAACCTCTCTTAAATAGCTGTTGTTTTTGTTCTAACAAATTTAGATGGACTGAAGATTGCGACCAAGAATTGTTGTAGTCACTAAAGTGTGCTTTAGTTAAAACTCCAGTATCAGCTTATCCTAAATAAGAGTGGCCAATCACACTGGAAGGAGATGATTGTGAAACTGGAACACTGTTTTCAAAGGTGCAGGAAATTGTAGCATGTGTAAATGCATATATCAGTCTTTGTTGATGGCTCCTGAATGCAGGTTCAGCTCATAAGGTTACTGTACTTGCTACATAGCACCATCATTAAATATATAGTAGGAAGTTTGCTAAATGAGATCATTTACAGTTCAAATGGCTGACAAATTTTAACATTGCAGGAGTACAACGTTGTTGTATAGCATCATCCAGGGCAGCAGAATTGTTACACAACCAAATTATCTTTCAAGATGGTGAAAACTCATCTATTCGTCAAATGTTTAGATACTGGCAACTAGAAAAGTCATTGTAGTACTGAGAACAATGAATCATACAGGGTTAACACTATAAATGAAGAATTCACATACAGTTGCTACTTACAGTGTGGCAAGGTGAAGTGCACCCTCTGCAGGTTGGAAAACTCAACATGAATGCACAAAACATTTGGCACAAACATAAGCATGATAGTGCACTATATTACTCTTATGGACCATAGAAATGTAGCTCCAGACAGTTGTTACAGCTAGAGGTTCCAAGATCTCTGAGACAAGACACACTTTGGATACTGAATGCATTATATACATTGCCAAGCACATGTTTGCAAAGTTTGTGAATTCTGACCAAATTGAGTGGGACAAACATTTGTCATCCATACTGATGCCATAAAGAGCAAAAGTTGACTTTTGTTTATCAAACCTACTGTTGTATGAACATGAAGCACAGTTCCTTGCTGATGTGGTGTATTGTCAACTTCACAGTGCAGATATGTCAACCTGCCATCCATATTGATACCACCTAAAGAAATAGTCAACTTTTGTTTAGTAAACCTGCTGTTGTATGAACATGAAACATAACTTATGGATGTGGTGTATTGTCAACCTAAGAGTGCAGATGTTCCACAGGGATATATGGAGTTATGGTTTGCACTAGTTGATGTTTAAGAAGTTGCACATTCAAAATGGGTAAAAGTCATAAATACTGAAAGAGAAACAATAACAGGAAATTAAAGGAAAAAAAATTTCAGTCCCAAGACTGGGTATGGTGTGATATGTGCCAACAACACAAAAGAAACTGTTTTCAATGTACTGGCCCTTATTTCATGCTTCAACAGCTGAATTCATTAACCCTTAATAATGTTCAGGTGCAATGATTCAATGCACTAATCATATGGTTTGTTTTATTGAAAAAACTACAGTATGAAATTTTTTTAAAACTTGTGATGAACTTTCTACATCTTATGTAGCTTCTGTAAAATATCTTATTTTTAAATTTGATACATTCTCGTAAAGTTATTATTTTATAAAACTGTAAATTTTATCTTGTATTGTTTCAAAAAACACCACACACAACTTTATTGAGTTTAAGATTGCTAAAATACAATAAAAATTGCTTTTTTTTAACCATATCAAAACTATAAGCAAGCTGACTTTTAATTGTTAATCATGTTTCATTTAATGTACTCAAGTTTCAATTCTGTATTATACAAGTTTACTATTTAACACTTCTTTTCAGTGACTTTCATTGTCCATTCAACAGATTACTTAGGTTGATAAGCTAACAAACAACGAACTAGTTAGTGAAATGAAACTTGATACTGTCAGAGACAAAATGACCTAAGACTAACAGTTCTCACCCTGATCTTGTCCTACAAAAAAAACATTTCTTTTTTTTCCATCATACAGAAAATTGTAATTCAAAGGAAGTATAAAATGACACAGCAAGATTTTTGCAAGCTTTGAAAAAAAAAACAGGACTGAAATTGTGGCATAATTTATTTAAAAACATCTTTTCTTCCAGCAAAATATCATCAAACTAAGCTTTTATCATTTGGTTTTAATCTCTATGTAAGTCTTCACTGAACTGGAAGCCATACTGGCTTATACAGTTAACTTAACCAGAATAATTATACAATTGTGACTCTTATCTCAAATAAAGTGAAACTGCAAATTACTGGTTTGCTCTAGGCCAGCATATCTAGGGTTTTCAGTAGTTTATTCTTAGAATGGAATTATTCATCAGGTTGTGGCTTTTACTTGATATTTGCCCAGTATTTATCACTATATAATTGTATTTTAATCATATATTTTGTGTAGGATACATTAATATAACTTTAAATATAAATAAAAAAGCAGGGTATTATTTAATTTTATTTAATGTGTTTCATTTGTAGCAGAGGAAAGATAATGCTGAAATGTTAGCCTTGTACTCTTTGGCTTCCCAGGTTCAGAAGCAGTGGTCATTGCTTGTAAACCCACTAACCAAGGTTTAGTTACTGACCTAGAGATCCTGTACTAGCAGTTTCATATCTTTCCATCTCCACTGGAACCAGAACTGTACCATTGGAAGTAGACAATGATGATGAAAAATCCCACATGTGAGTATGGGGCCATGCAAGATTGGTAAAGTTGCTATCATTAAGCAATGGCCCACCAAGGAGCCTGTCAAATAAGAAAGATGCTACTCCCTTATAAAGCCTGAGTTGAACCAGCACATTCATAGGTTGTAGAAGGATATTTCTTTCAGCATAGGATATGTGCATATATTGAACTGTGGAAGAAATAACATCTATTCATTTAATTCATGTCCTGTTTCAAGTTAAAAAAGTGAAAGTTATGCTGAGATCTTAGATTTAAGGTTGGAATTTTACCATATGGGTGGTTTTAAATGTCTGATATAAAGATGTAACAGGTTTTATCCCACTTAAAACATAATGAATAAATCATATTTTAATGTCTAGTAAATGAAACTTTAAAAGCTATGAAAAATTAGCTAAAACATTAAAATGTTGCAGAATTCTTTGACATGTTCTTATAAAAGTATCCCCCACTCCTAAATGGTTGTGTACAAGTTCAACAATATTTATATAGCTATGGTATTTTAATAAAATAATTCTGATTTCAATTCAAAGATGTGTAATTTCAAAAGATTACATTAAAATTCTACATTTTCTTTCTTTTGTCTACATGAATATATATATATATATATATATATATATATATATATAATAAACACTATTCTACTATTCTTGTTTAGTTGGTTCTTCTTTTTCTGTGTTACGTTAACCTTTAGTTAAAGTTAAGTTTATTTTTATTTATATTATTATTCTATGTTCTAAAGTTAAAGGTTTATACATTGTCCTGTGTAAACGTCATAGCATCAGATATTGTCCACACTTCAGGTTAGGATTCTATTGCATTAAATTGGATCATGATTGTGGTACGTAGATATCGTAAACTAAATCTTTCCATAACTTATTATATGAACACTATATTATGTACTTACTTGCAAATTCTAAATGAACAGTGTGTGCCCAACCTTAAACTGCATTAATTTAATGCTATTTGTAGATAACCACACATAGTCAAAACTAACCTAGATGTGTCTTTATATGTTTTTAGCATGCTTGATAAATCCTTGGTTAATTTTCAACAATTGTTTGGTGTGTTTACCATATGTGGGAATAGTGGAAAACCTACTTTCCTTTCTGTTAATAGTACTAGTCACAAACTAATCTGATGGAGCTTAAAATTAAATACAGTTCTTGGTCAGACTTGTCCATCCTGGTTATCCTTATATTTTTACTCTGCCATTAATAGAATGAAGAGCATCTTGGTTTCCCATAGACTTTCACATACCACTTTATTTTGTGTTAAAATAAAGTGATTTTGTTAATGTGTGAAATTAGCAATGTTCAGTTTGTCTTCTTATGGTTGAGCTTGACTCATTACATCCTCCACAAACAGAATCCCTAAAGCTTCTGTTATTATGGCCTTCTTACTTACCTCTGTGATACTCTGTTGTTTTTTAATGTACTACAGAGTATCACATCACAAAGCTTCTTGTTTCTAACTACAAGAACATTTATATTTCTAAAATATGAAAATTTTAACACACACGTTTATAAAATATCAAATTTAAAAAAATTATACCTCTACGCATTTTGTTTAATTGTAAGTAGGTTTTAAATAAACTTAAAGAACAACTGAATATTTTATCAGATTACCATGTCGGTAATTTCCTATTTTGTATGCTTTCAAATACTGCTAAGATAGAACTTGGCTTACTTAAAATGTTACTATCTCAAAAGCTTATAAATTAAGAGTCCTAAACCTTAACACAATCCTGGTATTTTTTGAAGAGACTGACACATTCATCATTTGATTCTCCTTTCAGAAACTTTTCAGCAAACCACTTGTTAAAACAGGTATCATACTCATGTTTCAGCTTATTGCATTCTTCTCCAATACTGTTCATGTTGATAACTACCATCTGTAACAGAAAAGAACTTTTAATCACTTTCTGATGTTTAATTTTAATTATTAAACCATTTTTGGTGGCAAACACCTTGACTCGTTTCTCTTTTACAAACTGCTCACAAGTGCTTAAGTTATCAGCTTTCTTAGTTGTGATTGTTATCTATATTTTTCTAAATATAATGAATTTTACTGATAATAATACACAAAATCAAGCAAAAATTAATGAATGGCAATTATGCCATACAGATAATTAGAGCAGCAAATAAGTCTTGATACATATATTACATCCCCTTGTTTTAGGGCTAGCAATTTACTTTAATTTTAAATTCAATAATAAATGGATTAAAGCATTACAATGTTTCTTAAATACACTTTTCCCTTGAACATACAACATTAGAATCTGTTAAGTGTTGGTGTTTCTAAGCACTATTTAGACATTTATGTCAGAAATTTATTAAACTCTCAGTTTATGACAGTTAAATACAACTAGGTTCACCAAAAACTTATCCACACTTACAAAAACTTAGCTAAATTTGGCAGATATTTTCAACAAATGTGTTGTTATAGATTTGTTCATCAACTTTCAAACTACTAAAGATGGGCATACAAAGGTAGTAATTACTTACTGACTATATTAAACTTTTAATGACAATAACATAATAAAGTGGTCTTGACCTTACTTCATGCTTCACAGTAGAGTAAGCCTAACAGCAGGCTCTTCTTGTGCATTATCATTACAAGTGTTGTTGAATGATTCCTAAAATCATTGATGATCTTGTAATACAAAATAATTACCAATATCGCTATATCAGCTGCAACTACTACAAGTACTAACAGTCAAAACAATTACATGAATCTCGATGTATAAAAACTAAATACAGGTCACAGTTCAAAGGGTTTGTTAGGAACTTTTTATGAATTTCAAATGATCAGACCAAAAATCAGATGATATGCATTATAACACACTTGGAAAGTCTCAGGTACTACAAACAAAAGTAAATGTCATATATCATGACTTCCAATTGCATCGCATTCCTTCAGATTTTCAGTATTTCTTAAACTTTTATACATTTAATGGTGTATAACTAAACAAATACTAAAGTGCCACAATTTATGATTAGCTTATTAGTGTGTAATTCCACTAATGGGAATGTTCTTTTAACATATATTAGCAGTCGTAGTTGATGAGTGTGTTCAATGGAGAGCCTAGTGGTGTAATCATAGCAATCATAATTTAAGTATTCAAAGAAATCTTAGGACTATTTTTTGGTTAGTCTGTTTGTAACTGTTTTTTTCTTAGAAGACTAACTATATAATTTTTCTGTTTTCTTTGTTAACAGTACTTCTAGAGCTATAATGTATGTAACTTGTAAGTTCCATACTTAACTGACTATTAGCCCTATCTGCTCAGGTTGGGGCAAACTCAAAGTGCACAGGTAACAACCTTTTACAGAATGCCATTCAACAAATGTTGGACTGAAGAGGACATGTGAAATGTCAAAACTAGTTTCCATTTAAATTTGGTAATGTTCCATTAATATGCATTTCAACTTTATAGTATTATGTATTTGATGTCAGAGTTATCAAATATTCATTTCATCTTATATTGCTGATTTAGCGACAATTCATGGTAGAAGAAAGTTAGTAACAAATACAATATACAGGAATACTGAAAAAAACTGTACATATGCCTAAGGTTCTACAGTTTATGCAAATACATAATACAAACATTACATGAACAAAAATGTTTTTGTACATCACATGAACATCACCTTGCACTCCAACTTGTCAGAGGACAAATAAAATTTTGACAGTTAGAAGTCATCTTCAGTTCTATTTTTCTAACAGGTGGTTGGCCTTTAAAATGGGTTACCTTCATATGTGGTGTACTCACAAATTTAAGGACATATAAGGGCAGGCTTGATAAATATTTAAATCATAGGAGCTAGCTTTGAATTTTTTTTAATTTTTAGTTTAGCTTGGTAAATGTGAAAGCCAAGAGGAACCAACAGGTCCCTTGTTTTCTTTAAATTTTGTTATAAATTATAATACAAAAAATTAGTTGTGAGACTATTGCAATTTAAAATCAAACCTTATACCTATATTGTCTTTAGTCTGAATAACTTAACTACTACTACAAATTAGTACAAGTAATAAGAAAATTCGTACTTAAATGCTCTTGAGCCTCCACAATATCACTGTCCCAATGTGAAACTACGTCTATCGTGAAGCTCTGGCTTAGTTAACTTAAGAAATCAAAACACTATTATTACTAAACTAGTAAAATAGTTCAAACTCAAAGCAAAATCTAGGTACTTGAACTTAGTTTAAAAATACAAAATAAAAATAATTTATACTGTGAGTGTGATTTTCTTTTTAGTAATACTAATAGTATGAAGTATCGCGAGTACTAAAATCGGTTCTTCACTTTTTAAATGACGAGCATTTTTACCGTGCTTATTGTAACATGAATATTTTTTTCCTCTAGAGCATTACTATTATTATTAGTCCATTTCGTTATTCCACATTACCCTACACGATACAACGAATAAGCTAAGAAATTATTAAACTACCACACTCCACGAGCATCCGGTACAGATCAGTTAAAAAAGAGAATTTGGTCAACCTGGTATATATCGAGTAAGAGTATGATTGGGTAGAACGCTCTCACGTGACAGTAAGGCGCCATGTTGTTACCCAGAAGCACATCTGACTTGCAATTCATATAATTCCTGTTTTAAAAAATGCCGTGCTGTTCAGCTTGGGCTATTCAAACCGATTTAGCTGTGGAAAGATAATTCATGGGTTCTCTCTAAATCCAGAAAGCAGAGGGAAATGTGAAATAAAAGTTTGTCGTTAAAACTGGAAAGCAAACGGAAACTTTTTGTGTCCGGTGGGTAGGCCTAACTTTTTCTTAATTTTTATATGTTATTATACTAAATTATTTATTGTGCTACTTATTTCAAATCTTCATTTGAAATTTATGTAAATATTTCTTATTGTTGTTTGTTATTAAGCACAAAGCTACACAAAAGGCTATCCGTGCTCTGCCTACCACGGGTATCGAAACCCGGTTTATAGCGGTGTAAGTCTGCAGACATGCCGCTGTGCCACTGGGGGGGCATAAATATTTGATTCCCTGTAGGACCATTTTGATGTGGCCCAATATGAAACTGGAACAACTTGTTACGTCTCCGTTTGTTAATTGATTTTCCGTAACTTCGTTCCGACGAAACTTTAGA